GAAAAAGAGACATATACCTATGAGGAACCTCACTGAACCCAATATCTCGACGAGGCTGCTACTCTTCTGTCGCTTTGTATGTATACATAAACCCTCCTGAGTGAACAAAAATTAATTAAATAAGCGGTATATTTTTTGATATCTTGTTTTCATTCGGTGGGCTAGATTTTATATGTTCGTTTCGGCAGTGTAATCTGTAGAGAAAGTACGAAGGGGTCATTTGCTAAATCAAAGTGGAGAGGGCAAAACGTATTTTCTTTTTCTTCTATGCAGACCGTTATCTGCCTGCAAGTAACCAGTAGCTTGAGAGTGAAGCCGTGTTAGTAAAGATGCATTACGGTATGGATAGTGATAATAGTAATTTACCGTTGACGTTAATCGTTAATGAAAGTGTTGCTGAAGCGTCCAAAGGCATGCCCGCCTTGTCCGTAGCGTGTATAGTGAAAATGTAAGTGGAAGGTATTTTCATGTTGTTCATTACGAATTCTGGCTTCGACACTGTAGCCTTGTGCTGATATGTTGCATTGCGGACGATGACCAGATACTTGTCTCCGCATTTACTTGCATCCGTTGGAGGCTTCCAAGTTAAACGCATGCTCGTCGCACTCAACATCGTGGCAGTCATACCCATGGGCACCAAACTTGCTGCAAACAAAAGGTAAAGAAATCATCTGAATCTGATGACATAGCAGTAGGTAAGTGAAGACAAGTCAGTTATTATCTTATAAGCTCAATGAGAACTCCTATTTGAAACCATGCAATCGTGCATTATTCATGAGGATTTTGCCAAATATTGTCTATTCGCAGTTAATAAAAACGCATCCCCGGGCAAATCGGCCTTAAACATTAAATGTGGTGTACGTGAGCGTTAAGGAGACGCTTTATGTCTGCTCAGTTGATAGTTCTCTTATTAAAAATAGGAAAATGCTAGGGGAAATCTAACGGCTTATGAACCTAAAAAACGACTACTAACGATCGTGGCGGTCACTCAATTTCTGTTGCCGTGATACACAACTGGCGCCTGTGGAATTGGGCCAAAACCAACGGTTCATGATATGAAGAAAATTTCCTACGCTAATAAACGCTGCAGAATAAAATACATTGTTTTATTTGTTATACTATAAAAGTAAATCAATAAAGATCAGAAAGGTTTCAGTGATATCTATTCAGAGAACACAACATCTTGCTTTGATTTTGTTAAATCGGGGTATGTGTACGCAGGAGATAGCGAAGTATTTTCGGGAAAAAGACAGCAAAGTTAAATTACAAAGTTTCTTTTAAATCTGTTATATTTAGTGCAATGTAGTAAGTATTATATTTATGGGGCCAACATACTCCCCCATAATGTCTGAATCCAAAAAACCCTCATAACCTCGGGACCATCCATGTACTATCAGTCTCATCCCATCCCTTTATCCCTAGGCTAGTTGGCGTGTAAAGATGAACATATTTGTCAGGCCTAAAGAATAAAACCCTAATGTTATTACAACATTGTAGGCTGAGGAGTCATCAGCTTAAGAAGTAATCACAATTTCCCAAACCAAGACAAGTGACTATGAGGAAAAAGCACTAAGCATAACTTCTTAGCTGGGCTGCTACTCTCC